GGGGGGGTATCACATGACCTCTCTAAGTGTCATTTTGGACAAAGTCTATTTTCAACAACCTAATGCTGGTTTCCTTCTGCAGGAGACCCTGTACCAGCCCCAGAACATGCAGTGTGCCCTATAGATGTGTAGAAGTAGAACTTACCCTACCTCAACCTCCCACCCATTGTTTTGTTCTGCTGTAGCCAGTTTCTTTGTTTTTAATTCTCAGGTCTTTGTAATGACCAGTCCCTGTGTCCCCCAAGCTCCAAGAGATACGAAGTCAGGCTGTCCACATGGCTTTCTTAAAGTCCTCTCTTGGGCTTGACTGAAACCAGGAGTGGTGAGAAAAGCAAGAACTTTTAAGTAAAATAGCCGGCCTTTCAGCTATGTTGGAGATGAGCTGGGTGACGGGCAAGCACTGACTGGCTTGGGACTGTGTTTGGGAATTAAGCAGTATAGATTGTTGGACACCTGCTTCTGGAGCATTCTCTTGCACAAGTAACCACATATTCTATTATATCTGGGTTTTTTAAATCCTTAGTCTTTATTCTTTTTACCTGTTTGACCCTTTTTAAAGTGAACCTATAAAATTTGTGCAGTAAGATATGACAAGACTTGTTTAAATTCTTGAGCAATTAAAATTGAACAAAAAATTCCCAGAATGCAAACCAGCAGTGACCTTTGTTTTTACATCCTCAGAGTACAATTTGGAAGTGCTCAAGTTGTTTGTACTGCAGTAATGTGCCTAGAACACTGTACTGAACTTTTCATGTATTAGTAGCACAAAGCTACACCCAGCAGGCCTGCCATCCAGAATCCTGAATCTCCATATTTATGCTCATGGGTCCACACGAAGTTGGTACAGAGGGTGTCCTGTAGGACACGGAATCTGCTTAGGAAGTAGGCCTGTGCTCACAGCTGTCTCCCTATGTCCAGACTGAACGTGTGCCACTGGAGCTCAGTCCTCGCCTGGAGGAGACCTTGGACTTCAGTGAGGTGGAAGTGGAGTCCAGTGAGGTGGAAGATTTTGAGGCCCGGGGGAGCCGCTTCTCCAAGTCTGCTGATGAGAGACAGCGCATGTTAGTCCAGCGTAAGGATGACCTCCTGCAGCAAGCTCGGAAGTAAGTTGATTCTGCAACCCTCATAGATATAAAGCCCAGGTCTGAAACCAGTGATTGAAGGACATTGTCATATCTAGCCCACATCTTCTCTTTTTAAATAGATGAAAAATTGGAAAACCATTACATGTCACCTAAAAACTCAGATTTCAAGCCTCTCTTGAAACAGCGGAAGATCCGGCCATGCTGAGCCTGACTGGTAACATCTGGTGGGCTGGTGCTGTTGGTTAGCCTTGTGGACCTCTGCACCCACACTTGCACAGACTGCTTATATGCCAGTGTTCCCAGCTCTATAGTAACTATTTTAATCTCTACAACTCTAAGAAAGAGCACTGTTATACCGATTTGACAGATGTACAACTAAGAAACTGAGGCCTGGGGAGGTTAACGGTAGCCTGGGCCTGGGGTCTGGCTTCCAAGACCTCCCTCCCTCTTTCCAGCCAGCATTGTCAGCACAGAGTGCACATCTGAGTGCCATGTGTTTTCCCATATGGTGGCAGCTAGCATAAAGTGCTTCTGTGAATGAATGTGAACTTTTTCTTTCAGTTCTTGAGGGACAGGACCAGCATTGTGTTTATCTGGGTGGGTTTTTTGCCCTATAGGCCCATGTCTTTGGGCAGGAGTGGGCAAAGGAGAGGGTACTGAGCAGCTGCTTGACCAGCCTTTCCTGGATCCTGGGTTAATCTGTCAAGGAGAAATCTCCTTTTCTTTTTTGCAGTGCTAGGGATTCTGTACATATTTCAGAGCTTCCCATTCCTATCATGTGACTCTTTGGTTTTTGTAGGCGATTCTTGAACAAAAGTTCTGAAGATGACACTGCCTCAGAAAGCTTCCTCCCCTCAGAAGGCACGTCCTCTGACCCTGTGACCCTGCGTCGGAGGATGCTGGCCGCTGCCGCTGAGCGTAGACTTCAGAAGCAGCAGAGGTCTTAGTACCTCCTCAGCTCCGCAACTTTGAGCCTGCGCCTGCCCGCCTGCCTGGAAGAGGCTGCCCTGGTTCTGCCTGCTGTGGGAAGAAGTGGGCTTGACTGCATTGCTGCTGTATAATAAAGCATGTGGTCTTAATAGTGTTTGGACAGCTGAGAAATTTAATCCTCCTTTGTAACACTTTCTATGTGATATTTCTCTTCCCTGTAGAAACACGCACATTTTAACTTTAGGCATGATCTCTTCTGGCATTGACTGGACTTCTTGGGGGTGGGGTGGGTGATGATCAAGAGGAAGTAGGTGACTGAACACCTGCCCACCGCAGGCTTCTTCAAGTCCTGCTGCCTGTATAAATCAGCCCATCCTCGTGTCCTTAGCTCCACATCTGTCAG